CATCTCTTTACTTAAATCTTCTTCCAAAACAAACCCAAGACACCTACTGTCTCCCTGAATCCATTCAGCCCTGATTCCCCCTCCTTCCACCTTGAGTTGAAGCCTAACATGAATTTAAGAGAACCCGGGTCTCTAGAAACAGAGTATTCTAGAGAGAAAGTATTGAACTTGTGCTAGGAGAAAATAACTATAAGTGAGCAGGAACTAATCGATACCGCAAAATATAAACAATCTAGAGAATATCACACCAAACTTAAAATGAAAAATCACGAACTAGATTGAAGTGAATTTTGGGTTTGATATTTGGGTTGGGTATGAGTGTTGGTCTGATACCGAAAATACCATAGGAAACAAATACTGAAGGCTCATTATGTAATGGGTAGTTTACCCAATTGAGACTTAAACATATATATCATTTTCTCTAAATAAGATTAGGTTTTTTTTATCTAACCTTTGATAATGAAAAGTTTTAAAATGTCCAGCCTTTGAGAAAAAGTAATTTATTACACAATTCAAGTAAAATAAGGAATTTTAAAATCAATATGAATAGTCATTGAAATAATTAGTCATTCTCTAACACATGTTGCAAATGACCATATTTGTAGAGTCATTCGTAAAATCAATCATTATCTAATACTTTTTGCAAATAAGGATATATATGACATATCATACAAAAATATGTGTTATAAATGAAATAAAACATACTTGATCATATTCAGGAAACATACAACCTTTTAGTTTTGTATAATTTTCTTCTGTAATACAGACAATAAAAAATTCAAAGCCAAATTTTAAACAAATGAAAATTGTTTCAGAGCTACTAGAAGGGGCCTAGAGATGTGTATCGCAGGAAGAAGGTGATGAAAGAGTGGCCGGTGGCGCAGATTGGGAAAGAAATGAAAGGGAAAGAAGGGTTAGGGAAGAAGAAGAAGGATTAGGGAAGGGGAAGAGGGGAATGGGAATGGGAAGCCTTGATAGGGAGGGGGGAATCAAACTAAACCGGGCTTTCTCGTTTCCCTTACCCTGAACTAAACGCCCCTTATTAGTTATTAGTATCTCTTCATATTTTAAAATGAGCTCACCTTTATAAGAATCCTCCATAGTGTACTTAAAGATATTAGAATCATCAAAAATGTACCATTTTGTACTCTTTGAAAAGCCTTGGTGTTGAAGCCTGAAAAAAAAATAACCAAAACTTAAACAAAATTCTAAAAGATAGTCACGTTTTGGAGATCCATATTGAAATGCTATTTAAAAAATTGAAAAATATTGATCTGAAGCTCTATCGAATCTCTCCCTCCCGCTTCTGAATATATACCACTTTCTGCTGAGGTGAAATTTATAAATTAAGATAATCATCATTCATGGATTGCAACAAACAAATATGAAGAAGAGATAATAAGAACAAACTTAGACAATAGGCGAAAGGATGTAATTTAAGCTGGATAACAGGGAGAGACTTTGTCATCCTCTTGGTAATCGCCAATAGAAACCAAATAGGTCATAAATCTTGGTCGTGCATGCTCAACACAACCTTCAAATTGTGGAAATTCTATAAACGTGAAAAGTTGAAAGGAGCTTAAAATGTCACCACAAAGCGCAAACCAAATGTATTAATTGAATAAAATGCAAGAAAAACACCACTAATGTATTAGAAGCATGTTCTTAAGAATTTAAAGTCTTAACTTCTATTTTTTTCTAGTTTTTTGGTTTCTTCCCGTTTCTTCCAATTCTTTCCAACTATTCTCATTTTTTTCAAACTCTTTCTACTCCTTAACCAATCACTCTAAAAGCTATATATAATTAATATGATTATTATTATTATTATTTTTATTATTATTATTACAGCTATTATGTTCATAACTATAGTTTATAAATTATTTTATTTTTCATTTCACTATTTTTACGATTCACATTCATTATTACTCTTCTTCAACTTTTTTAAATGAATAATACATTTTTTGGCATATTAATCTACATGATAAAATAAAAAAATATCAATATTTTAAACTATATGTCTACATTAAAAATTATGGATAAAATAGTTACATAAAAAAAGAAAATTAATTTTGTTTTTCATTTTTCAAATTTTTATAAAAATTTTGAAAGTTTAAATAGTTTACAGAAAAAGACTAAAGTATGAGTGAAACAGAAAGAAACGTACAAAAATAAGAGTTGTTTGTCTTTATTTCAAAAATAGGAGTTACAATGAAAATAAAATGTCAATTATAAAAAATATATTTGATTACATTATGTGACATGTCTGATATTTGAAACAAAAACTTGTAATAAATAAAGTATAATCACAAATATATTATTCTTTATTATAAAATGTGCATAAATAAATTGAGGTACAATGTAACCACAATAACGTTTTAAATTTAATGTTTTGATATTGATGTTAACTTTATATTGTAAATGTTTTTTTTGCAAAAGTATTTTTTGTGTATGAAAAATAACAATAATTTTTTTATCTTTAAAGCATTTATTAAAATAACGTGATAATAATAATAATACAATATTAAAAAAGTAATTTTCCACCTCCACATCTCAATTAAAGACCTCACGAGCTCTCCTCATATATGCCTTTCTTTGAACGGTTAGGGTGCATCATTCAGATTGTAATGTGCAAAAAAGACAGTAATTTTTAGGGCTTTATGATTTTGCAATGAAGACAAAGGCTGGGATTAGGGTTCTGAGGGTTAGCTGAGGATTGGAAGAGGTAATTAAATTAAGAGATTGGTGGAAAAATTACAATTTCAACACTATATTGAACAGTTAGATAACAGTAGGAGTGATGGAGAACTGGTCGTAAAAAATAACCAAAATACTAGAAACTACGTTTGCAACATTTGATAAATAAGAACTAAATATAGAAAATTGCCTAAAAATAGAGGTCATTTATGAAATTTATTCTTTTGTTAATTTAAAAAAATTACTCCCTTCGTCCTATATCTTTCTTCCCGTTGCGCAAAACAAAGAAAAATGCTAAGTTTTTTCAATCTATTTTATTTAAATATTGGTATAGAAATAAAAAATAAAACATACTTCCTTTGTCCCAGTTGAAACTTCTCAGTTTGACTTGGCACGATTTTAATGTAGTGCTAACTTTTCCTTGACTTTCCACATTTGCTCTTTTGATTTTTCATTTATTCTATCATTACTGTTATCCTCTCTCAAACCCACCTCGCCCTTGCGATGTTCTTCTCAAACCCACCTCATCGCTGCCATCTCCGGCGATGACGAGATTGGGCACAAAATCAAAAGACAATGAAATTGAAGAAAAATAAAAGAGATAAGGGGAGATCTATTTTAAACCCACCCGTGCTGCTAAAAATTCCATCACCTCGTCACCTGAGGAAGATGGATGGGATCTTTAAGTTTTTCCCTTGAATCTTGCCAAAATCGAAATAAAATCAAAACTCTTTTCATTGGGAAAGGGGCAGACTATGGATCTAATGCCTAGATGATGGAGGAACGAAAATCTAGATCTGAATCGTTTGGGTGGTACAGATGCACCACCGCCTATTTGTCGCTGCTAATAACACGCTCGGAAGAAGGCAGGGCGGGGTGGCAAAGAACAAGAGGAAGGGGGTTGTGAAAAAAGAAGAAGAAGGGGGTGCCGAAAAAGGAGATGTAAGGTGGGGTGGGGGTTGATGAAGACGAAGAAGAAGGGGTGCGGACTGGGGAGTGGGGAGTGTCTGAAGAAGGTAAAGATTGAAAAAGAAAAAGAAATGGAAGAACAGAAGAACAAGGAAAAAGAAGAAAAAAAGAATGGGGCTGGGGGATTTGACCGAGAACAAAGGAAAAAGAAAGAAAAGTATGGAGAGAAAGAATAAATGAAGAAAGGGCAAATTGGTAACTATACATACATTTTAATTTCATTTAAGGAAATGGGAAAAATCAAGTGGGACGGCTAAAAAGGAAAGTGAGAAGAAAGATATTGGACGGAAGGATTATAAATTTGTAGAAATTTTGGATCTATGAAAATAATTTATGGAACTTTTTTAATTCCCTATTTAATAATTGATCAGAATATTTATGAAAATAAAATTTATAAAATTTGAAATTTTGATTTGTAGAATGGGTAAGAAAAAAATTTATTTTCATAAAATATTAATTTTTGGAATATTATATTCAGATTATTTTTGTATTTAATAAAAAAAGTTTTTAAATTGATATGGAATTATTACAATCTAAAATATGTATGGACTTGTAAATTGTCACACTTAAGAGCATGCGCAGCGGCGAGGCAAATCCTCGACTCGTTGCGCCACGTCACCTTATTCCGTAACTTGCCTCGCGAGGCTTTAGCCTTCCTCCACGCCAAGCGTGTGAGGCGCGAGGCACTTTCAGGTATTTTTTTTTTATTTTTTGTGGGTTGCTGGAGTTTTCGCTGCTGGAGTTCGTCAATGGGCTGCTCGTCGCTGGAGTGCTCGCCACCGTCGCTGGGGTGCTCGCCGCCGTCGCTGGGGTGCTCGCCGCCGTCGCTGGAGTGCTCGCCGCCGTCGCCGGTGTTTGTTGTTGCTACTGGAGCCGAAGGACGAAGGAAGAAAGGACTGGGTCGGGTCACAAATTAGGGTAAATTTTTTTGAAATTTCAGATTGACCTCAAATCTTCAATCATACTTCCAATTCGGCCCTTCTACAAGTGTCTAGACTCTAAAATTAATTAATCAACACAAATCAGTCTAAAATCACATGCTTTCAGTTTTTTTTTGTTTTTTGTAGAAGAAATAAGTTTTTTTAAAAAGTAAATCTATTTAAAAAAGATAAATGAAATTATTTTTAATAATTAAAATGCATTAAAAAATTATAAATATTGATAAAAATAATGACTTGCCATTGTACGAGATGCCATTCCACTCACTTGCCACACGCTGACTAGATATGCTTTTATTAGTTGAAATATGCCACGTCAACGTGTGGCATTCCATTTCTTTACTTGCCATTGCCGGTGCTCTAAAAGTTAAAACAAGTTCCTTCTGACCCAATGAAAGCCCTAGTTGGCTAGTTGAATCCCTTCTTCTACCAAAATAATACGGAGTAAAACGATCCTTGATTCCTTGTACCACCGCCGGCAAATCTTCTCCGCCGTATACTCCACTTCTTTTTCCGGTTGCCCCTTCACAACAATTGATCTTTCCATTCTATAGGCTACGGGCCGATCCATCGTAAGCAACCAACACGCCTCGCTAATATTCAAGGCAAAGCAGCAAATACCGCAAAAGTCGGCACCTTTGTAAGGAGATGGCTGTGGCGGCTTACGGGCAGCTGCATCTGGACGAGGTTCCGGTTTGGGGGTCTCGGAGCGTGGATTGCTTCGAAAAGCTTGAACAGATTGGAGAAGGCACTTACGGGTCAGCTTTTTGCCATTTGTTTAACAGATTGAAGTTGTGGAGTTTGAGTTCATTTAAATTTTGTGTTTTTCATGTACCACTGTATATTGTGTTTATTAATTTTCTGATTTCATTCAAAGATCCTTTTTTTTTAAATTTTAAATTCTATAGTGGAACATGCTGTCTATGCATCTCTTCCCTCTGTCTATACATTGTTTTGTTTCTTGGTCATTGTTCTATATTCTAATTAGTGTTCTAATACGAGTTTAGTGTTAGATGAATGGAGGGAGGAAAGGAGAAAATCTCGTCTTCCCCAAAACATTGCTCCCGGTAGAGATATGAGACACAGACGAAGGAATTTGCCATATTTTTCCTCTTAAATTATGATAACTGCTTTACAAATCCCATCCTATATCAGTTAGCAGCCTACAAACGGCCTGATTTAATGGACACCTAAGCGTGCCTAGGGGTTTGGCCCTATTGTACCGCTGGGATGGTGAGACACCCAATGCTTTTTTGGAGCACTGATTACGGTTATTAGATATAAGAAAGATTATTAGACAAGGGAAGTAACTAACTGCCAATTCAGGATTACATATTCGGCTCACTATTGAATGTAGAGTGTTCTTTTTATGTTAGTGGTGCAGATGTGATAATGGATAAATCTTATTTGCTCCCTAAAACACATGCTGCCCTTTGATAACCCTGTAATGTTTCCGTTGTCAAAACTATACCATTATTCTAGATGGAGGACGTTGAAAAAAATAAGAGTGTCTTATGTCCAACTAGGCTTTTGGCCTATTCTACCAGATCACTACATTCTGAAATTAAATACTTACTCCGCGCTAAATAATATGCTACTCTGACTGGATCAAGGGTTTAGAGAATGAAAATCTTGTTGTAATTTATTTACAGGATAGAGAAACAATACGAACCACACAATGTTTTCTTAAAAAATACAGAGTAAGAGATAACTTTGGGACAGACGAAAAGGAAAGTTAAGAAGTTTTTTAGAGCAGAGAGAGAGAGAGAGAGAGAGAGAGAGAGAGTATTTATTTCAAGCTTTAAGTGATGAGATGCTTGCTGCATGGTATTGTGCTTTCACTTTGTTTTATAAAATGGATAGTGGAGAATGTTGTCGCCATAGTTCACTTGTTTTGGGTAGGTAGTAGTTTTGTACCTTTATATTGAATGTTGTGCTCTTGTTCAGAGTAATAAAATGGGAGTTGATGACAACCATATATGCTATATGACCATAGTAGTAAGGACAACAAAGGCCTATACACGATGAGTTTTTGCTACATTGATACAAACTTATTCACGCCATAGTTTCATATTTATAGCATTGCTATTAATGAAGTTTGTTTGTATTTCCTAAATTGTTCTATACTATTTTCCCACTCAGGCAAGTATTCATGGCCAGAGAAAAAAGAACTGGAGAAATTGTTGCTTTAAAGAAGATCCGCATGGACAATGAAAAAGAAGGGGTATAATCATTTTTCTGGTTATTCTGCTCCATATGCTTAAATGGTATAATTAGAAGTCAGTAATTTTCATTTTCTATGCAGTTTCCAATTACTGCCATCCGGGAAATCAAAATTCTGAAAAAACTGCAGCATGAAAATGTAATCAAGCTGAAAGAGATTGTGACATCTCAAGGTATCTATGCTTTTTAATAGTGCCAAATCATCTGCAGCTTTGTAAGAGTTTGCTAAGTTTTTCACTTTAATATGACAATGTGAACTTTTCTTGAAGGTCCTGAAGGAGACGAGCCAGTGAAGCCAGGTACGGAAAGCTTACAGTGCTGTACTTTTTCTATTCTGTGCATGTAGTGTGGATATGGGGTTAGCATAGCTCTGATTTGGCTTCAACCCGGGACTTGATCTGCGAAACCAACAAAAGTTCTTGCCCTAATCTTAAGTGACCAAAAACTGACTCCAAAAATTTAGATCCCCTTTTGGAATTAGGTTATTCGAGTCAGATTTATAAGTTTCAAATGTGTCACACATGAACTCCCTGAATGGCCTAATTTTAGTATGATTTGAAATAATATTTGAGAGAAAATAAATTGTCAATATGTGTAATTGTCTAATTGCTACACAATTTTTTTTACAGATGTGATGAATCCTTAGATTAAATAGTTTATTTATCTTATAATATATACTGTGTGTTTAATAGTTTGAAAAATATTGGGTCAGGCTCAACCCAGTTTTATTTGAACCCAACTTTAATTGCAGAACTTCAGGTTGAGTCTGCTAAATCACTGGTTGCACCCAACTATGACCACCCCCTATCTGTGAATGCTCATTTTCTTTATTCTTCCTTTTTGAAAATGTGGGAATAACATACGAGTATATGGATTGTATCTTCTTTCCATTCCAATGCAGATGCCAATAAGTACAAGGGAAACATTTATATGGTTTTTGAGTACATGGACCATGACTTAACTGGCCTCGCCGATCGCCCTGGACTGAGATTCACAATTCCACAAATTAAAGTACTGAAACCATAACTATTGAAGATGATTACATTTGCTCCAATAATTACATTTTATATTTTCACTATGCTCTTTTTCAGTGTTACATGAAGCAACTACTTACTGGTCTTCATTACTGTCATGTCAACCAAGTACTTCATAGGGATATCAAAGGTAATTCTTATGGCACTTTAAGGCTGACATTACTTTCATTTTTATACAAGAAACACTATATTTAAACTTATTCATTTTTGTGAATATTTTCTAGGTTCCAATCTTCTCATAGACAACGAAGGAAATCTGAAGCTTGCTGATTTTGGATTGGCAAGATCATTTTCAGGCGATCAAAATGCCAATCTCACAAATCGTGTCATTACGCTGTGGTACAGGTATTTACGGGATCTGTAATAGCAACATGATTTTTTTTAATTACAGCCGCTTCTACCTTTTGAATAACTGCTCGTTTTTTTTCTGATTTGTCTGATGGCTGTTAACATTCTGTCCAGACCACCAGAGCTGTTGCTTGGAGCCACGAAATATGGCCCAGCTGTTGACATGTGGTCTGTTGGTTGTATCTTTGCTGAGCTTTTATATGGAAAGCCAATCTTACCTGGGAAAAATGAGGCTAGTCTCTACCATAATCTTTGGCAGCTGCTCCATTGGTCCCTCTCTAGTGTTCGGATGCAAATATCTTCCCTTCATTCATCCTCCCTCCCCCAAGACCCTACTCTATTGGGCCTGTCTGAATATTTAAGAAGATAAACATATTTTAATAACTTGCATGTTTTGTGCTCATTAACAAAGCAATTACTTTACACTTTGAAGAAATAATACAATATTGTAAGATGCTTAGCCCAAATTCTGAACGTATAATTATCTTATAAAAATTGTCCCAGGCTTTTAAATTTTCTATAGTATTTACTAAAGGTCGGTTTCTTTTTTTGACTTGGTTTTGTATAGCCTGAGCAGCTGAATAAAATATATGAGCTCTGTGGGACCCCTGATGAAATCAATTGGCCCGGGGTAACGAAGATTCCCTGGTACAACAAATTCAAGCCATCACGGCCTATGAAAAGACGAGTCAGAGAAACATTTAGAACGTTGAGTACACATCTCTAAGAATATATACAATAATTTGAAGCACTTAATTAGGTCAGAGGTCTGACATATTGTTGATTATTCACTTCACAATAAACTTCTTTGCAGTTTTGATCGCCATGCCTTGGATCTTCTGGACAAAATGATGACACTTGATCCGTCACAGGTTGCTAATTGGTTCCAACATCTTTTCTCCCTATTGAATTGAATGTATGCAAAATTATAAATTGATTTGGATCGGACCATACCGGCACTATCTTACTCTAGAGGCACATCATAAATTTAGATTTTCACTTTACAAAAGTCTACCAAGCTTTTCTGTGATCATTTGTTTTTAATCAAACTTTAGTAAATGTCATCTCAATTTGTGTAGAGAATTTCCGCAAAGGATGCATTGGATGCTGAATATTTTTGGACTGACCCTTTACCTTGTGACCCAAAAAGGTATGATAGAGTATCTTTATGGCATTTGATTCTCCTTGTTTTTGTTATACCTATGCAACTGTTATCATAAAATTGTTAATTTAAAATATGTTTTTGTGCCTCCAAATATAAATTTTTTAATTTTTGAGGTGTAAGATTATCATTATTATTTGTCATTCATTCCTGCATTGCAGTATATCTTGCTTTCTTTTCACTCTCTCTGTCAACATCTGCTTTAGAAAAAGACTTGCATGGGAGTGCCCATTTGGAAACAACTTCAGCGTTTTGAAAAGGCCATCTAATATCAACACTTAGCTTTAGTGTTTCCAAAGTTAATATACACCATTAAAAATTTATCAAAAAAAGTAATCTACATCATTAAAAGTTTATCCAAGCTAATTGTAAATGCTGTTCCCAAACAACTAGACCCTACTTTTGTGGGATCCAATTGGGTTGTTGGTGGTGGTGGTGCCCCAAACAAAGCCAGAGTGGTACTCCTGTTTTTAATGACATTTAAAAGAAGCGTAATACACGTTAATTTATTTCTAGAGATCCATAAAAGGCCTAAACTGGAAGTTGGGATGGTGAGTTTCACTTAGCCATAACTTCAATAATGGTCGTCGTTGAATGTCCATGCATGAGATTTTTTGTTAGTTTCTAAAGTTCTTTGAGCTCTCACTTTTGCAATTGTTTTGTTATTGTTTAAGTCTGCCATCATAAACTTCATAAAAAGTTTTCTTCACTTCTTTTTTTCTCTTNAACGAAGAGATGGCAAAAAGGCAAAAGCTGCAGCACCCACAACCGCACTCCCGTCTCCCTCCCATCCAACCTGGACAAGCCCATCCTCCGCATTGGGCTGGGCCCAATAATCCCATGAACAATGCGGGCCAACCTGAAATCTCGGCCGGGCCCAGTAACCATCAATATGGAAAATCTCGTGGTCCCCCCCGGAGGACAGAACAGGTACCCTCCAAACAACCACAGCAGTGGATACTATCAAGACCGTGGTGGAAATTACAGTGGCGGCCCTTATCCCCCTCAGGGACGGGCTCCTCCTTACCCCGCTAGCGGTGGTGTGGCCAACAGTGGTGGGCCCCGCGGGGCAAGTGGCAGCAGCGGCGGGTATGGGGGAGTTCCTCCTAATTACCCCCAAAGTGGTCAGTTTGGCGGTTCTAATGCTGGCAGGGGCTCCAATCAAATGGGAGGTAACAGGAACCAGCAACATCAGTATGGGTGGCACCAGTAATGGCTAAGGCAGTGTTTGCTTGATCAGAAACTCATAAACGGTAATTTAAAATATTGAATACTGCAGATTAACTACTAATTGTTTTTCAATTTTAAGTTGTGGGCAGATATGGATGGATGTGGACTTTTTGTGGCCAATGGTTAACTTTTCTGAGGCTGTGTATTGAATTATAAGGCTATGTTTGTAACCCGGAAAATGGCAAGAAAATTGACTCTAAATTTGTTTGGTTTTAAATCAAATTAGACTAGGATAGTAGGATTGCACACCTCTGCTTTCACACACACAAACACAATTTTTTGTAATATAAATATATTTAAGTACAATAAGTTGGAATGACTATTTTTATTGTATATATTTTGGATCTTTTTGTAATTTCAATCATAATTTCCTTGCAAATTTTCTCCTTTCCCCCTTTTCTTAGCATTTTTTTGGATTCCAAACATATCCAGAGAGATACTGCTACAAGAAATCATGGGTTCCACTCATGGTATACATCCACCATGTGAAGTTACTATTATATACCCTCATTCCTTAACGGTTTACATCCTTATTGTTGATTAGTGTACATTAGTGTACAACAGCTGTAGCCCAATTTGGCCTTTCAGCATTTGTCTTGATTTTAATCCCTTAAAGTTTTTTGATTTATTGATTCTAATTACTCCTATTATCTATTTTAGGCACAAGAAATGATTCAACACTCTTCTCCAAAATTAACAAATCATTAAAGATACGAGAATTTTTGGAGACGAGTGATTCCATTCTCGTGCGGCGTTCCAAATTATATGCCGGGCAAAGGTTGCTTTGACACCAACAAGTTCCATCTGGTGACACATCCCCAAAGCAACTTCCTTAATGTGCAACCTTTTCAGTGGTTGAGCCTCTTTTGCAGCAACATCATCAGATCTTGAACCACAATTTCTAAGGTGCTCCGGCCCAACATATGAGGAGAATGTAGTGAAGCACAAAAACACAGATTTGGGCGTCTATGCAGCAGAACGGGTGTTTGAACTCGACCTGTACGATTCAGGGCCCCACGTCTTGATGTTGGGAGCCCTGTTAGGTAATGAATTGACTTTCTTTTGGAGAATAAGTATGATGCTGGAAAAAAAAGGTTGGTCTGGAGATGGGCATTATTTTAACTTGTTATTGAAAGCAGAACAAAGTTTGGACAGGGTTTTGATCCAGGTTGGTCGGATGTTTCGGCGAAACATCCCCGGGATCAATACCATTATTATACCCTAATTAGGGCATATATAGGTGAAGGCAATATTGAAAAAAGTATGATGCTGGCCAGGGCTGTCAATGATACTAAAGCCTACAATCTTGTCTTGAAAGGAATTTTTAGTGAGGGGGTGTCCAAAGAGCTGTTTCTTTTTTTTTAATGAATTGTTAGACAGGGGGGTGTATGCATCAACACTATAACCACACAGTACGTGCTGTCTAACAATTCATTAAAAAAAAGAAACAGCTCTTTGGACACCCCCTCACTAAAAATCTCTTTCAAGACAAGATTGTAGGTTTTAGTATCATTGACAGCCCTGGCCAGCATCATACTTTTTTCAATATTGCCTTCTCCTATATATGCCCTAATCAGGGTATAATAATGGTATTGATCCAGAGGGATGTTCCGCCGAAACATCTGACCAACCTGGATCAAAACCCTGTCCAAACTTTGTTCTGCTTTCAATAACAAGTTAAAATAATGCCCATCTCCAGACCAACCTTTTTTTTCCAGCATCATACTCACTTTCCAAAAGAAAGTCAATTCATTACCTAACAGGGCTCCCAACATCAAGACGTGGGGCCCTGAATCGTACGGGTCGAGTTCAAACACCTGTTCTGCTGCATAGACGAATTAGACGCCCAAATATGTGTTTTTGTGCTTCACTACATTCTCCTCATATGTTGGGCCGGAGCACCTTAGAAATTGTGGTTCAAGATCTGATGGATGTTGCTGCAAAAGAGGCTCAACCACTGAAAAGGTTGCACATTAAGGAAGTTGCTTTGGGGATGTGTCACCAGATGGAACTTGTTGGTGTCAAAGCAACCTTTGCCCGGCATATAATTTGGAACGCCGCACGAGAATGGAATCACTCGTAGCAAAACAGTCCCATTGAATGATCTTGGACATATAGTCAGTGAGACAGCCAAGCAAAACACAAGAACTCGGTGACATGATTTTGTATGGTGAAGATTCTATTTTTCTCTCTTTTTTTTACTCCTTCCCAGCCATTTTCTTTTTTGAACACAAATGATGCATAAACCCCACTGCACTAAACAAAGACGGAGTAACTTTTATTTATGCTCTTACTGAAATAGACTTATTTGCTAAATCCATCCATACTCTTTACACAACAAAGGAAACATATATAATCACTAATTCAAAAAGAATTACCATTTTCAGTATTCACTCCCTATTATGGAATTAGATGTACAATTGTCTCTCCTTAATCTCACTCTATTTTAAGAAAGTAATTATTAAACGGTTCACATTATTTTTCTCCACCCTGTATATATAATGAACTTTCCCCATTCAATTTTCTCTTCTCAAATTAGAAAAATTTTCTTGAATAAGAAGAAAAATCACTGCCCACACCAGTAATTTAGCTGGTCTTCAGCAAAATAGTTAAACCTAAAGTCTCAAGATCAAGCTACGCCCAGTGTGAGAATTTTAGGCTAAGGCAGTGTTTGCTTGATCAGAAACTCATAAACGGTAATTTAAAATATTGAATACTGCAGATTAACTACTAACTGTTTTTCAATTTTAAGTTGTGGGCAGATATGGATGGATGTGGACTTTTTGTGTCCAATGGTTAACTTTTCTGAGGCTGTGTATTGAATTATAAGGCTATGTTTGGAACCCGGAAAATGGCAAGAAAATTGACTCTAAGTTTGGTTTTAAATCAAATCAGACTAGGATAATAGGATTGCACACCTCTGCTTTTACACACACAGACACAATTTTTTGTAATATAAATATATATAAGTACAATGAGTTGGAATGACTATTTTTATTGTATATATTGAGATTGGATCTTTTTGTAATTTCAATCATAATTTCCTTGCAAATTTTCTCCTTTCCCCCTTTTCTTAGCATTTTTTTGGGATTCCAAACAGACCCAAAGACAAGAAATCATGGGTTCCACTCATGGTGTACATCCACCATGTGAAGTGACTATTATACCCTCATTCCTTAACGCATTACATCCTTAGAGAGAGTAATTGTTGATTAGTGTACAACAGCTGTAGCCCATTTTTGCCTTTCAGCATTTTTCTTGATTTTAATCCCTTAAGTTTTTTTATTTATTCTAATTACTCCTATTATATATTTTAGGCAAGAAATGATTCAACACTCTTCTCCAAAATTACCAAATCATTGGAGATACAAGAATTTTTGGAACATAAAAAATTATGGCTATTTATGTCTAATGTAAATGTAATAAAAATATGATCTTGAATCCAAAGATGAAATTAATAACTATAGCCCCCCAAACTCATATTTTGACCTGACATTTTGACCCATTGGCGAGCTTTTATCATTTATCTCATTCGGTCTTGATTCTTGAATGGTTGTAAATGGAATGTCTTGTTCACTTTCATTCAGGTTCCGTTTGGTATACGAAATTTAAATTATGGAATTAGAACTGGAGACAACAATTTCAATTCTGCCATTTGGTAGCACAAAAATATGTGGATTTGGAATTGATAGTGTCAAAAATGCATTGGAATTAGAGAATTTAATTCCATCCAAATTAATTTCATAGAATTTCAACTCTCAATTCAATTTCAATTCTATCAATTTCGTGTACTAAACGGACCTTTAGAAAATATTAGATCAAGAGACTATTAAGTATAGGTGATTATGGTCAGGTTCTCTAGCTTATTTTTATTATTTGTTACTTTTTTTTGGAATCGGATCAGATCACATCTTATTTTAATTAGATTGAAATTATTTAGATTAGGTGAAGAGAAGATGATCTTAGACAAAAATACTACGGAGTTTGAAATTGAGCAAATTATAACCTAAATATTACCTTTGTTACCTAAAAATAATACTCCGTACAATTGTTACCGGAATATGCCAAACTACAAAGATCCATACAAATACCGCATTGTAAAATATACTCGACTGTCTTTTTTTAAAAAAAAAAATTAAAGCATTCACATAATCATATACTCCCTCCGTCTTATATCTTTTTTCCCGGTTCGCAAAACGAAGAAAAATCCCAAATTTTTTCAATTTATTTTATTTAAATATTGGTATAGAAATAAAAAATAAAACATACATATTTAAAAACTACATCAAAAGTTCAACAAAACAAGTGGTGACAAGAATATTTTATTTTATCATATAGGCCATGAAAAAACACAGATAAATATAAATTCCCGTGAAGTTGGAATAGTGCTCTGGGAAGAAAGTTTTAGGACGGAGGGAGTATACAAGTTACATAATATTCGCGGGAAAAGGACTAAAGTAGGAGTAAAACATATGTCATATCCTCAAAATAAGAGTTGAAATTTAAACTCCTCTAAATAGGAGTAATTAATTAATAGGGCTCCAAATTTTTTAACAGCCGTAATTAACACTTTGCAAAACTAAATGTAGGCCCACGCGCTTTGTCTCCAAGTCCCAATCTCCGGCAACTTCAAAAATTAAATAAAATCCAGCAACAACGGCTCACCTCCAACAACAACGGCTCACACTTCCAATGCCTTAACCTCCCGCAACCACCGTCGGAGCCTCTTGCCTCTGTTGCCACCTCTTGCCGTCGCTTCCATACCGCTGCCCTGCTCTGCCCCCACCGGCCGCCGCACTACTGCACCACCGCTATTAAAACTAACCATTGCTATCGTTGATTGTCACTATCATCGCCGACATAAATTACAAATAACTTACCATTCATAAAGCATACACACAAGTATAATATGAAATCTCGCATACTGATCCGTTTTGTATTGCACAATGACGAATAAATCATCATTTCAATTGGTGGTGTTGCTGATACCATTGCTAAAACATGCAAATATGGTAAATCGTGTTGCACCGGTCATTGCAGGTTGTCGGCCTGGAGCTTCCTCCACCGCCACATCCGCTAACACCATCATCACACTTTGCACTGTGATCGTCGATCATAGTGCCTGATTAATAGTCTTTGTAGTGTCAAAAAAGGCATAATGCCAAACATAACAACATATAATGCCATATATGACAACGAATAATATCACATATGGCAGTGCATAATACCACAATGCCCATATAAAATGTCATATGTGCAAATTTACAATGCCAATTTAAGACATAATGTCAAACCCACACACTACATACCCTGCACTACTACCGACAACCATCACTCATTTCACGACCACCTTTATGGGGGGGGGGGGTGGATGACCAACCGTCCCTATTAGTGGGTCTGAGATGGGTGGGGGTGCATGGCAGGGGCGGTGGTGCGGCGATTCGGCGGCGGCTGATGGCTGATTATAATATACGGACTATTGAAGAAGGGGGGACGAGCGGCTGATTGAGAAAATGTTTAGGAACAGCCGAACAGGGCCAATAATGGAGTTGGTGGTGCTTTTATAATATTTTTTAATATTTTATTAATTTAAGTCCTATTTAGAGGGGTTTATGTTTGAAGTCCTATTTTGAGGATGTACCATATGTTTTGCTCCTATTTAGGGGGTTTTCTTAATATTCGCTGGATGTTTAAGAAAGAAATCATAGCCTGAGGCTTCATTTGGTACACATGATTCAAACTATGGAATTGGAATTGGGGACAATAATCTCAATTCTGATGTTTGGTTGTAGAAAAATATGTAGATTTGGAATTAATAGTGTAAAAAATGAACTGAATTGGAGAATTTAATTTCGTCCAATTCAATTATATAAAATTTCAACTTTCAATTCCGTCAATTCCATATACGAAACAGGCCCTGATGGTATAATTTGTCATAACTAAATAACATGTTTTATGTGTATTTGTGTCTTTACACACTATCAAATGCAAGTAAATAGGCAGTGGTACAAATCATTCAAACCAAGCTTAATGCCCTTCCACAACTCCATAACAAGAATTCTTTCTTCTCCAGCACTTTGTTGGGGACCCTTACCAAGATGGGGCATTTTGAGTTGAAAAAGGTAGTTGTGTAAAGAGACCCTTCAATAAACAACTTCTATTTTAATTATAATTTTATGTTTTCTCTTCTTTTCGTTAACGTCACACAAGAAATCAAGAAACTTGTAATGGTCTCTTTCAGTTAAGGTCATACAAAAAATTAAGAAAATTGTGATGGTACATTGAGGACAACCTAAATTAGTAGTCGAGTTAGACCTAATTTACCTTGCTCTTTTATATCATCACTAATTAATCAGGCATGGGCTATCCAACCCATTCTAACATTTGGGGTTTGGAATCCACGTGATAGGGATCGGGCTAACCCATCTAAAACGTAAGGTCTAAACTGTCAGAATAGTAAGTGAGGTAGACACTAGAGTTAGGTAAAATGAAAAATCAGCCACTTAAAGAACTCAAAACCTACTTTCTTAAGAGGGAAAAGTGGATCGTAAGAGCCAACCCTTGTGCTACAAACACACCTTCTCCACATCTGGAGAAGGGAT